ACCTGAATGAGGGAAGTCAACCTTTTGTCTGGGGGGTTTTAGCAGGGATGCACTCCTGATTTGTACCGACAATGTGGCCTGTTGAGGGGGGCCAATATGCTGAAGTGGCCCTCGGTGTAATTGAGTTTGACACCCCTGCCCTAAATGAACACGGTTATTCTACTCTCACCCTCTACCTGTATTCTGTCCCCCGGTCTGTTCGTAACAAATTAATCAGATTAAAAAATTGTGTACAAATGAAGAATAATTATCAATATGTTGTGACCGTGTTGTGTGTGTTTTCTTTTCTTGTTTTGAGATTTATGACTGTAGGTTTTGCTGTTTTTTCTTTGCAATTAAACACCATGCAAATTAAATTAAACTGATGCAGACTCAATTAGAAATTCTAGATGAAATAACACTGTAAAATAGCTTATAAAAAGGATTTCAAACATTTGGCAAAGCAATTATTTTTGTAATATATTCTTCGGCCTACCTCTTTGACTTAACTTGAATTTAATTAGGTTGTTTGCCTTCTAATATTTTTACTATATTGAACAGTTCACCTTTTAAAATCTGTAAAAACCATATATTTCCTGACATACTTTTGGAGCAATTTAAGATTATTGTGGTACACAAATATGTCTTTTGCATTCCTTGTTCATGTGTGTGATTTTATAATTCTATCATGTTCGAAATAAAAAAAATAAAATAAACATTGTTCCTGTGTCAAACTTTAACAGGTTATCTCTGTACAAGTAATGTTTTAGCAGAAGTAAAACAAAGCCTTTTTGGTTAACAATTAATTGACTGTTTTGTAGACTGTGTGATTTATTTTCCTCGATAGTAATTCAAAGAAGGCAAACCACAACATACTTCAGTATACAAAACATAAAAATACAAGTACAGAATATTTCCAATGGGTTTGCTTTAAAATGTTGATTTTTTCCCCCTAAAGCAGACATACAAATACTATACAACAATCCCTCTCCTGCAGGGGGAGCCTAGTGTCACAAACATTGGATTAAGCCCTGTCCAATGATGATGCGCACGAGATTATTCCAGCAGCCTCTAAAAAAAGCCTTCCCCTTCACTCTGCACACTCAGACGGTGGTAGCCCTGGATCCCTGGCTGAGCGGAGTTCAGGTGCCTTTTGCACATAGTGATGACGTTTTACCAAATACTTCTCCTGTTCTCTGGTAAGCTGTTTCATTTGAAGTTTCACGTCTTGTGCAAAAGACAGCTGGAAGTGTGATTTAAGGACTACAGATGAAGCTAGACTAGATCTTGTGAGGTTTTTTGTAAAGTGAGTGTTGGCAATCAAAGTAATTTTGTGGAAGAGAGGAAGAGCTGGTGAGTTTTGGTATCTTTCTAGATTTTACACCATCCCGGTCTAACCTCCTGTTTATGAGACATAAGAGTGAAGTTTGTCCTGTGTGTCCTAGATACTAATGAGAAGAGTCTCTGTGGATATTACAGTAGCAACAGAATGATGCACGCAGTGATTAAAATGTTTATTAACAGGCAAAGAATAAACAAAAAAGAAATTGAATGATTTTTACATCTAAAGTCAGCAAAAGAGTTTTATGTGAAGCAATTTTGATTGTATGTGTGAATCAGAAATGTTGAGATTTTACTCGTCAGATACGCATAAAAAGCTATTTCTCTCAGACTGGACTACATGGCTTGATTCACAGGGATAGAGAAGTTTGTTCCTCCTTTTCAGTTGTTTATTCCTTTTTGCAGTGGCTGTGGCTCCTGCGGCTGCACACAGTTCCCACCGGACAAAAAGAGGGTTACTTGAGCTTGCAGGAGCCATCAAATGCAGCACTGGGAGATCTGCTTTGGCTTACATGATGTATGGATGCTACTGTGGGCTGGGGGGTGAAGGGTGGCCCCGTGACAGAGCAGACTGGTGAGGCAACTCCTTATCTCTAATCTTTTTCACATAATGGTACGCTTCTGCACTTGACGACGGCATTTACCAAAATTCAAACAATCAGACAGGTCTGCGCATGCATGACAGGCTACGAAGCTTATAATTCAGCACGCATCACTGTGTTTTCACTCTTCAGCGCAGGCATGGTATGTACACATTATTTCCTCTCCTTGGTGGAGCTCAACTCTTCGATTTCCAAAATAGGTGTGACCAGTTTCCGAATCCGTCTTTCTCCTCTAAACCACAAGTTCTGCCAGATGATAGGAACAAATGAATGATGACCTTTTTCACAACACAAGCCTGGGGACTTTAAAAATAGGTCTAAAACTCCACACCCAAATCCTAATTACTGTCTCTTTGTTTTCTATCTTCACCACTAGACATCTCGCCCATTAAAAACTGTCTGACTGCCAAGTGAATGCAGTGAAAAAACAAAGTGGTGATCCTGGCCTGCTTTTAAAATAGCTGTGGTGTCGCTTTGCCACCCATCTGTACTGCTGCTCAGTCCACTCCAGACGGAGCTCAGCCTTGAAAGTAATGCATTCAATATGTTGCGCCTGTAGGTGTTGCCACAAGCATGACTGCTGTTACGGAGACGCAGAACGTCTTGGCTGCCACACCAAAACGGCCAATTATCATTGGACTTGTGAGGACAGGGAAGCTGAGTGCGGTATGTATATATGTTCAAACACACCTTCAGAGGATTGAAGGAAACATAAACATTTCCAGTATGTGGTTTTATGAAAAGGTAAACAGAAGAACTGTTCAGGCAGCACATAGCTAATATTAAGTATTCAGAATTTTTGACTTATCTCATCGAAATCCCGTGCCATGTGAAAGTATCAATAAGCGTTGATTTTTTTTAATTTTTTTATGTGACATACCAAACAAAGCACTGCATTATTGGGAAAAGAAAAGAAAATCATTTGTCGTTTCCAACTCTATTTCCTTTTTTATAAATAAAACTCTGAAATTGTGACCCAAATTTGTTTGTAAATCGTTTTAATGACATAAATCTCTTATCTTTTTCATTTCAGAGGATTTAGAGGACAAATGTGAGAAGTTTTTATGCAAGTGTGACAGAGAGGCAGCCAAGTGTTTGAGAAAAGCACCTTTCATCCAGAAATATGCACTATGGCCGGATTTTCTATGTGGCCACGATCACCCAACATGCAACATTTACTGACCCAGTGTAAGCATCTTTATATTGAGTGCCTATTTGTGAAATATTATAATAAATACATCCAAAACAGACTAAATTATTATATTTTCAGAATCATCATTTTTATGAGACATGGAGGCACCTGTTAAGTATGTGGGTGGGTTTAACTAAAGCAGAAAATTCTATACATGTGAAATGCAGAGGTGGGCAGAGTACCCAAAACTTGTACAAGAGTTTACTCAACATTACTTCAAAATAATTTTACTCAAGTAAAAGTAAAAATTAGTCGTCCAAGAAACTACTCAAGTAGGAGTAAAAAAGTACTTGGTAAAAAGTCTACTCAAGTACTGAGTAACTGATTAAATTACCGTATTTTCCGCACTATAAGAC